ATCTATCTATCTATCTATCTAATCTGTCTGTCTGTCTGTCTGTCTGTCTGTCTGTTTTTCTGTCTGTCTGTCTGTCTGTCTGTCTGTCGATATTTGTTTGCAAGCACAGACACCACTTTTTCCATGCGGATGGACTAATGTCATCCCCACAACCCAACCCCGGTTACAATTAAATTCCGCGCTGTTTAAACTTTCCACTGAAAATTTAGTTCACTGCTTTTACAGAACAACATACTTATAAGTCGTGAGACTACGTCCCTTAGAAGAAAAAAAAGAATAATATGTTGAGCGCGGGAACTCGCTCAAATTCTTGTCAGAGACCGAGTCTGCTGCTGTTGCTGCTGACATTGCAGCTTCTGCTCATGCCACCACTGCTGCTACAATTACTACTGCTGCTGCTACTACTGCTACTGCATTGTGTCCGTTTACAGCATATTTGCGCCTTTCCGGGAATTTGTTGACCGGGTTAGCCTTACCGGTTAGTTTCGTGGGACATTTCGGCCTCATTAATGTATTGTCATCTTTGTTTCCCAGGTCACAGGTGGTGCCCCTGATCAGACCGGTCCAGGGAAGCCACGTAATGCTGATCAGCCCTCAATTTAAATTAGTAAATAAGTATCAGCTCTCAATTTAAATGAGTAAATAAGTATCAGCCCTCAATCATCATCATAATCATCAGTTTAAGTTGTTCTTCTATGTAGATTAAGTTGATTTTCCTTTTGTCTGTTTCATTCTGAGTGTTCCTTTTCTCAATACCGGGGATATTTTCTGTCAACTCAGACACGTGCTGCTGTCTCAAAGCAGGGAGCCTGTGTATAATGTAGACTGGTTTTGATAAGTTGAGTGCAGGATCTTCGCTGATCTTAGTTTTTGCAGTTTGTACACATTTTTTTGTTGCTTTAGTCTTTCCCTTCCTACGCGATTTGTTTTAAGTCTCTACCAACCCCCCCCCCCCTTCCCCCCGTCCCCACCCCAACCCTCTCTTGCCGTCTTAAGACATGGGTTAGTTGCCTGTAGCCCTCTGCTGATCTGTGTATTGACCCCCTACCTATAGTGTAAGAATATCATCTGCACATGTCAGTATCCTGCCAACACCTGGAGCTTCTAGTTCTGAAATCTTGCTTGTATCTCAGGTAAACTGAAGAGCACTGGTGAAATTTATGGTATTCCTAGGAAGATATTACATTGCTCAGAGGTCCAGTGTCCACATAGAGAAACTATAGTAACTGACGGACAGCTGCTCTTTAGTTCGCCAGCAAGGGACAGACCCTATTTTCCATGAGAGCAGACATCAAAATATCGTATCTAACTCTATTGTAGGCATCATAAAGATCAAATGGCTGCCACCACTGTCTCCTGTCCATTTCGGAACCCTTCATAATCATTAGAAACAAAAGTGGCTGTCTTTGAACATTGCAGTTTAGCAGCAATAACCTTCTCTAACTCCTTTCCAGCAGTATTTTTTTAGAGTGATAATCCTGAAACAGTTGGTGTCTGTGGCTTAGGTTTTGCGTACGCGCTTCGTAATGCCGGGGTGCCGGGTTCGATCCCTGCTGCGAACGGTTTGTCTTGCGATGGTTTCGACAGTGGTACCGAGAGCCGACCGTCCAGACAGCAATGGCAAACTACTGGACGTAAATTTGCCTAGGAAAACCACAACAGCCAAAAAGTGCTGGGGTTGGTTCTGCAACGTCCTGTAAAGGATACGCAACACATTAAAATTTAATCCCGAAACAAGTGAGCCCACTGACTGACCGACCAACGTTCAATCAACTCCACTAGAACCACACAACGTGCGACAAACACCCGTTGCACCATTCGAACGAGAATCACCAGGGCACACTTCCCAGAAACCCCGTAGACCTTCTGCCACAGCCAGGATTGGGTTCTAAACCCCTCCCCCCCCCCCTTTTTTTTTTCATTAAAACAATGGCGTCCCATAGAGGAAATTTGTCATTTAAGTTCAACTTCTTTCGTTTAGTGAGCAGCAAATGAACACATTATTTCAGCGTAGCCTGTCTGGTCTTTCTTTGACATCCGCACTAATCAATTTATTAGGAAAACATAAGGGGTGCATCCTGTGGGAGCTGCATCCCCTCTTCGAGATAAACTTTACAAATGCTCAGCCTAATGCTTGAAATAAAAAAAAATCTATCGTTACGATTTGTCAACTGCAAGACTCGGCATAAAATGCGTGATACTTGTTCAATGCGTTGCAAGTAGGTATCTAAAAATTTTGAGATTTTATACCATTCTTGAATGCAGCATGCCGAAATACCTAAGCTTAATGTTGAAAAATTAAAAACCGCGATATTCAAACTGTCCTTTGAAAATTTTTAGTTAACTGCTTTTACAGAACAACATATTTATAAGTGGTGAGGTTACGTCATTACTGCTTTTCGTCCTTCTTAGGACGTTATTTTTTGTTATTTGAAGCCCCACTCTGGCTTTTGCCAGGGGCCGCAATATAGGCAGGTCATCATTATGGCCAAATGTCTGAACGCGGTTTCTGGGACCTCTCCACGGTGATCCTCATCCGCATGGTGGCACTTTTTGTCATCGGGTGTTTATCGCTTGTGTGATGTCCTGGTGGGGTAAAAAATCCAATCCAGTCCCTTAGAAGAAGAAATTATGTTGTCAGAGACCGAGTCTGCTGCTGCTACTGATGATATTGCAGCTTCTGCTCCTACTACCACCACTACTGCTGCTACAATTACTACTGCTGCTGCTGCTGCTACTACTACTATTATTCTGTAAGAGCTACTGCTGATGCTGCCGCTACTATTACTGTTGTTGCTGTCATTTTCCGTTACTGCTGTTATTGCTACTGCTTCTACCGTTACTAGTACTTTGGAATATTCTTTCCAGATCGTGGTAATGTATTATTCTCTGCTGTTCTATATCTCTAAAAATTTGGATTGGCCCTGACAAAAGACCCAAAGGACGCTTACTAGTCAGCCTCTACCTTCGAATCAGTGCATGATTCTTTACACGAATCGTGCCTTATTTCACAAACGAGGGGTGTGGATGCTAACAACATACAAAGACATTTCCCTTTAATAGTAGAGTCCGAAACATCATAGAAGAAAAGCCCAACAAGAAAATGTGTCGTATGCACACACACACACAAACGACTAGAAACCAGAGACACGTGTAAGGATTGTGATGTGGCATTGTGTGTCGCACCTTGTTTTGAAATATTGCACACACAAGAATATTATTAATAATAATATTAAAATTATATATTTGTAGGCGTACAATTTCACCCCACGCCTCTTCTGCCTTCGGAGGGAAAAAAAGGTATTCAGCACCAGGGCTGTCAATGATGGTTTTTACTCCCAGATCTGGGTTTTTATTTGACGCCTTGGGTTCAAATTTTGAAATCGGTTTTTTTTTAATATCCTTATATAAAAGTAGGTAAATGTTTCGTTTCGTAACTATAAAATGTGGGCTATCCTCCGAAAACGGGCACAAAAGATGGCGGCCGCAAAAAAACATCCTAACAGGGCCTCAGTCACGTGGCAATTGCGCACTTCCGGCTACTTAATTTGCGGTTTTTCGGCGACTACCGCCACCGCCGAGAGTAGCCCCCACCCCGCTCACGCACGGGGGCTAAACTAGATGGCTGGGACTCATAAGCAGCAGCTTCTGCAGCTTTGCTCATGAGTCCTAGCCATCTAGTTTAGCCCCAATCCACGCCGCATGAGCGTTCGGTAAACAATGGGAAACTACTGAACGTAAAATGTGACTAGAAAAACCACAACAACCAATAAATGATGGGGTTGGTTCTGCAACGTCCTATAAGGGATATGCAACTTTAAGATAGTAGATGGAACGGTGCTCCAACAAAAAAGCCTAAGGTAATTATTGTTGGGGGAGGGGAGGGGGGGGGGTACGCCTCTCAAGGGTCCTGAGCTTCCAAATTGAATGCGTATGTGTTCACAGCGACTTGAAGAGGATACAGATATGTTATATTATCACCACGGCCGGGTTCCAGCTTTTTATAATGCTCCAGTGGGCCGTGGCTATCACAGTTGACGTCACTGCACATTAGGCATTCTCATGCGTGTTCAGTCCTCATATTCAGCAGCCTCTCCAATGTACTTCTACTAACTGTTCCCACGTGAAACTGGGTATAACGTCTCCTATTTCATGCTTCACCATGCTTTACTCCTATATCACGCAATCGTGTTAGTGTCAGAGATTCTTCACTGTCCACTAGCCCATTCCGTATAGCGCTGACGATATCTGCTCTGTCAATACTCCTTCCCACATGCGTTGGTGCATTGCTCGTTAGCTGGTCCGCTCGCTCATTATCTTTTACGCCTGATGACCAGGTGAGGCAGGTTGAGTGCCATTTTTTAATGTTTTTAAGTTCAACCCATTCAGAGATGGTTTGGCCATCTCGTTAAAATGCAACAAGATCAAATACCATAACAAGCACTACTTCTCAGAAGATCAGCTACAATAGCAAGAGGACGGCCGCGGAAACATGGATCGACAACATTAAAGACACTACGCCTTTAAGGCATGACAATAGCCAGTGGCAGCCAACGTGCACTGGATCGCAAATTATTCCTCCCCACGGCGCTAAACGGCAAGTAGTTGTTTATGACGATGATGATGACCCATTCAGAGCGCATACCGTACCGCCTGTTGACATTGTTTGAAGCAAACAGATTTAGATAAGTGCGTGTGTGCGTGATGTATTCGAAGAGAAAAACTGGAATATACGACAGGGGAGTTAATGTGTGGACAGAGAAAGAGGATGAGATGGGATGAAGGAGCCTAGACACAGGAGATTAAAAGACGAAAACTCCGAGTCTCCATATCTTATTTTACCTGCAGGCACAGGAGAGTCACTGTTTTCTTCCGGGTTAGTTGCAACACGTCAAGCCAGTAACGCTGATTAGTCTGTGACAGTAAACTTGCAGTGAACATAGACAGTACTATAGATATAGATATACGTAACACAGCAACATCTTAGAAAAAATTTAACGATGTCTTGGAGCGGACAGCAACAGTATGTAAGTCTCAATCATGAAATATTTATATATAAGCGACAACAATGAACAATGGGTGACACAATTTCAATTATTATTATTATTATTATTATTGTCTGGAGTCGTCAAATATCAGTTGAAACAAAACAAACTGAAAAACAAAAAATACAAATTTAAAGTATTTTTTTATTTATTAATTAATTATTTCTTCATGTAATGATGTCGTAATCCGCAAACAGAAAATGCTAACTACTTAAGACTTACTATATTAAAAACAACTTTCAGGCACCTTATGGAACTTCCATAACACTTCAAGAATGTTACATAAAACTAAAACTAAAACATGAAAGTCTGTATCATCGGCTTCCAGGGATATCTGAAACACCAATGGAGTCTGAAACTGAGCCCACATTGTCATTGCACATCACAAGTCATCTACATACATATGGCATTACAATTTCCATGTTCTATACATAGTGAATAACCTCAGTGGCCTTCACATACAGTGTCCTTGATGAATACTTGTTGTGAGGTGGTAATACCAGATACCAAACACTGAGGTTTTGGGAGGGTCAGAAATCACAACAGTTTTCTTAGTGTTCAGATTTTTGAAGGCTGGGTTGTCTAGGACACACTCAGAAGTTGGGTTATTATTGTAGAAGGTGTCAGGGTTGTCTAGGACACACTCAGAAGTTGGGGTATTATTGTAGAAGGTGTCAGGGTTGTCTAGGACACACTCAGAAGTTGGGTTATTATTGTAGAAGGTGTCAGGGTTGTCTAGGACACACTCAGAAGTTGGGGTATTATTGTAGAAGGTGTCAGGGTTGTCTAGGACACACTCAGAAGTTGGGGTATTATTGTAGAAGGTGTCAGGGTTGTCTAGGACACACTCAGAAGCTGGGTTATTATTGTAGAAGGTGTCAGGGTTGTCTAGGACACACTCAGAAGTTAGGTTATTATTGTAGAAGGTGTCAGGGTTGTCTAGGACACACTCAGAAGTTGGGTTATTATTGTAGAAGGTGTCAGGGTTGTCTAGGACACAATCAGAAGTTGGGTTATTATTGTAGAAGGTGTCAGGGTTGTCTAGGACACACTCAGAAGTTGGGTTATTATTGTAGAAGGTGTCAGGGTTGTCTAGGACACACTCAGAAGTTGGGTTATTATTGTAGAAGGTGTCAGGGTTGTCTAGGACACACTCAGAAGTTGGGGTATTATTGTAGAAGGTGTCAGGGTTGTCTAGGACACACTCAGAAGCTGGGTTATTATTGTAGAAGGTGTCAGGGTTGTCTAGGACACACTCAGAAGCTGGGTTATTATTGTAGAAGGTGTCAGGGTTGTCTCGGACACACTCAGAAGTTGGGGTATTATTGTAGAAGGTGTCAGGGTTGTCTAGGACACACTCAGAAGCTGGGTTATTATTGTAGAAGGTGTCAGGGTTGTCTAGGACACACTCAGAAGTTAGGTTATTATTGTAGAAGGTGTCAGGGTTGTCTAGGACACACTCAGAAGTTGGGTTATTATTGTAGAAGGTGTCAGGTTGTCTAGGACACAATCAGAAGTTGGGTTATTATTGTAGAAGGTGTCAGGGTTGTCTAGGACACACTCAGAAGTTGGGTTATTATTGTAGAAGGTGTCAGGGTTGTCTAGGACACACTCAGAAGTTGGGTTATTATTGTAGAAGGTGTCAGGGTTGTCTAGGACACACTCAGAAGTTGGGGTATTATTGTAGAAGGTGTCAGGGTTGTCTAGGACACACTCAGAAGCTGGGTTATTATTGTAGAAGGTGTCAGGGTTGTCTAGGACACACTCAGAAGCTGGGTTATTATTGTAGAAGGTGTCAGGGTTGTCTAGGACACACTCAGAAGTTAGGTTATTATTGTAGAAGGTGTCAGGGTTGTCTAGGACACACTCAGAAGTTGGGTTATTATTGTAGAAGGTGTCAGGGTTGTCTAGGACACACTCAGAAGTTGGGTTATTATTGTAGAAGGTGTCAGGGTTGTCTAGGACACACTCAGAAGTTGGGTTATTATTGTAGAAGGTGTCAGGGTTGGCCTCTGCTATTATTTAAAGAATTTTGCAAGCAGGACATGACATAACAACTAATAAGGTGAATTCCTGGGGGGGGGGGGGGGGGGGGGTTGCCATGGATTTTATGGAGGGGGACATTAGGAAGGGAATTGGGACAAAGAAGAAAAGGATTGCAAACAGGTTATGAGATTAGCAACTGACAAGAAACATGTCAGCTATATGTGATGATGGTCCTGAAATCTCATGCATTTGTTGTGGAAGCTGTGTCTTATCATGAGCTGGTCTTGCTTGTCACACTTGCCATTGCCATGGTCTGTGAGTCTCATGCCTGCCTTCAGCACATTGGAACACTGTCATCTAGAAAGATGTAAAGGTGCTCATTTGACCTCCTCATTGGCTGGCATGCAGGGCTTTGATCATGTGTTCAAATCTCTATTGAGATTTGATTTTACAGAAAATTGTTCTTATCTTTCAGGTTGACTAAGCTTGAAATAGGTAAGAGGAAATACACTTGGAAGTCAATATGGGTAGTGTGATTTTGACTGCAAATCCTTAGCCTTGGCAGGCAGCTGGTCTATTAGAAAAGCTCTCACACATGGACAGACAGAGCATTGCTCTTTTTATCCAGTAGCATCCTTTTATCCAAGTCAACAGTTTCACTTATCTAGGGAGCAAGATGTCATCTACAGGAGATACCGCACCAGAAATATCATTTAGAATAGCACTGGCATCTAGTGCCTTCAATAAACTGTCTAACATCTGGAAATCAAAAACACTTAGCAAACACACAAAACTCAAGATCTTCAATTCTTGTGTGATTCCAGTACTAACCTATGGATGCGAGAGCTGGAAATCAACGAAAACTCTAGACACAAAATTAGACAGTTTTGAAAATAAATGCCTTAGAAGAATACTAAATTTCAAATGGTCAGATTTCCGAACCAATACACAAATAAGGCAAGAATCCAGGCAAGAGTATGTGTCTAATTTTATACGAAAATGCCGCTGGAACTATGTCGCCACGCCCTTAGAATGGATAAATCAAGACTTCCTTACCAAGCCCTCATTTGGACACCACAGGGGAAAAGATCTTGTGGAAGACCAAGGGAAACCCTACGTAGAACTATCATCAGGTGGGCCACTCAAACATCCAAGACCTACAACGGATTGCAACGGACCGCCGTGCATGGAGAGTCACGACCTCTGCCCTATGTGCCGCACTCGACACAAGAGGAAAGACTAACTAAAAAATCCTTTTATCCAAGCATATTGGTGTTACCTTTACTTTGGAGTAAACAAGGCAGGCCGAGAGAGGGATCATGCTGCATTGGCAACACATGATCATTGCTATACTGCCTAAGCTTAGTGCTGTGGAGAGGAGAAACTTCTTCCCTGGTCATAACTGACCATGGGCTGTAATTCACATTCCTCCCTATATCTCAGTATAACACTACATTTGGAAAAGCAGAAAGGTGTCAACAACAGGATTTTGACTGTTGGTTGTTCTGTAAAAATATGGGGCTAGAACCAAATTCCCACTGTATCCTAGAGCTTGAGAACGGGCTCTTTTGAGGGAGATGGATGATTCTGTATCCCACTAATGAAATACTACTTCTGTGATGGTGATAAAGTCTTATGCCAGTCCTTCTTTACTCTTTCAGTCCCATGGGGTTTAACATCAGAGGCCAACAGGGTTGTACAGAAAAACATATAATCAGCGCCTCTTGCATTCATTGGGCTTCTGTGTAGGAACATTTGATACATTCCTTGGGACTGAAAGAGTTAGTTGCCTCCTATGACATTCTTTTTAGATTTCAGTGTTACGTTGATCTCTGTTCCTTACTGGTCCTATAAACACACAGTGTTTCCCACCTACCTGCAAGAGCAAATGTCTACCAAAATTAATCTTTCTTATGTGGTTAGATGTTAGCTCACAAATAGATATAATGCTCACAGATGAACAGATATTAGTTTCACAGACAGAGAGATAGGTATTAGACTGGCAGATATATATTAGGCTCACAGACATATAGATATCAAGCTCACAGACATATAGATATCAAGCTCACAGACAGACAGATGGATATTAGGCTTACATACGACATATATTAGTCTCACAGACAGGTGGATATTAGACTCACAGACAGACAGATATATATATATTAGGCTCGCAGACATATAGTTATCAAGCTCACAGACAGATGGATATTGGGCTTACAGACAGAAAGATATTAGGCTCACAGACATATAGATATCAAGCCCACAGACAGACAGATAGATAGATATTAGGCTCACAAACAGACATATAGACGTTACGCTCACAAACAGACATATAGACGTTACGCTCACAAACAGACATATAGACATTGGGCTCACAGATAGATAGATAGGCCAACAAGCTAACATCAATCTGTCAGGCATATTTATATAAAGTAAAGGACCCTTTTCTAGCCTTCGACATTAGGGCATACAGTACTAGACCTGTACTTTTATAGACCATTCAGTGCCGGATGTGTGATCTAGTCACCATCGTGCAGGCTGCCAGTACTTCCCAGGACATTACTTGGCACCCATTTCAGGCTGGGTCGTCCTCAGAGGCAGGTTCAGTTGTGAAACACATCTGCCTCGATGCAGAAGTAAACCATAGAGGTTTGGACCAGCCTTCAAGCATCTAGCCGCCACGCCACTGTGGCTTCCACATATTTTTGAACTTTTGTGTAAAATGCATCTATATTTTCAGGGATATGGCCAGGGCAATGTTTACCAACAGAGTGACCAACGACAGCCAGCACCTGGTCAGTACGGTACACCATCATATGGAGCACCAGCAGGGCAGCGACCAGCATTCCAGGATCCACAGAGTTATGGCAGCCAACAGTTTCAGACATCAGGCTATGGGTCAGCTCCCCAGCAAGGCTACGGTGCATCTCCTCAGCAAGGCTATGGTACATCTCCCCAACAGGGCTACGGTGCAACTCCCCAACAAAGCTATGGTGCATCTCCCCAACAGGGTTACGGAGGTGGCCCTCCACACCAGACCTATGGATCACAGCATATAAGTGGGCCAGCAGGCAATTACGGCAGTGGAGGCGCACAATTCTTTTCAGGGGCTCCGCCTGGCGTTGACCCAGAACTGTGGACATGGTTTCAGGTTTGTGTCATTGATCTCTTATGTTTTAGATGTAGATCAATGATATCTTATATTTTTATATTTGTGTCACATTTTTGGTTTTTATGTTTGGATTATTGATATCTTTATTTTTAGGTTTGAATCATTGATGCCTTTAGTTTCAGGTTTGTTTCGTTTATATCTTTCAGTGCAGATTTGTATTATTAATATATTTGGTTTTGGCTTCGGATCATTGATGTTGTTGGCTTCAAGTTTGTTTTATTGATAACTTTGGTTTTAGGTTTGCATCATTGATCTATTTAGTTTAAGATTTGTATCATTTATATCTTTCCTTTCCTTTACCGAGCATTGATATAATTTGTTTCAGGTTGTATCATTGATGTCTTTGGTTTTAGGTTCGTTTCGTCAGTGTCTTTTGTTTCACTTTTGATACATCCGTATTTTAGTCAGCGTTGGGATATTGTCACATTATGTGAGCTGATTTAGTCAGGTAGGACTCCTTTGGCCATTTACTTACTTTATAGCAAAGGCCTTCAACCAACCCATGCCAGCAGCTCCTGTTTTTTTTTGCCATTGCATGCAGCTCACCAATGTCCTCCTCATCTCTTCACCATGTATTTTCTAGTTTGCCTTCTTACTTGGGTCTTGTGGTTCCAGTGCAAGGACATTTTAGTCATGTTACTATCAGGACTTCTCAGTGTGTCTCTTGTGCAGTATCTATTGTTCAGCCTTTGATTCACTGGAATTTGATAATTAAATGTAAATAAGATTAGTCATTAATCAAGCTTCTAACTTTGTGACAAATGGGTTACTCCATAAATGCACCGTTCCTGTGCCAGTGAACATCACACAAATCACCTCCTAAACATTTGTGTGAGCACAAGCTTGGCACTAGCATTAACTATATGTCTCAAATCCATGTCACTGTGGAGACATCAGAAAAGTGATGTTTACAGGAAATGGCACCCTGTTGTTGTTGTTATCGATCCAGCGGCGCATGAGCTTTGGCCCAGTGCCATGTAGTGGAATTTACTTGTTTTCACAAGCTGTTCTCTTCCTCCGTACAAGGTGTTTCACCTGTCTGGTCTCGGAGGGAGTAGCATTCTTCTAGTCTCGTTGAGTTTTGGGCACTCAAAGACATGATGGTTCTTAGTTTCATAGGGGTAGTTACATAGCTGGCACTCTAGGGAGTGTTGTGGCTGTATTCTGTTTAGGTGTCCATTGAGTGGAGTATGTTGTGTTCTGAGTCTGAAGATGGTGGCCTGGTCCCTTCTTGTTAAATAGTTAATGCTGTCATTAGGATCAGGGCTAGCCATATGTCTATAAACCTCTCTTCCAGTATCTCCCATGGCCCATCTGTTCAGCCAAGTCTCTTTGTTTATAGCTTTTATAAGTGTTTTTGCTGTCTGTAGGGTTGTCGCTGTAGGTGGTTGTTCTTGTGTTGCTCCTTTCTTTGCCAGTCTGTCAGCTATGTCATTACCTGGTGTGCCAGAGTGGCCTGGATCCACTATTCTGATGTTGTATGGGGTAATGAGCTGATCAGCATCTAGAATTGTCTTAGCTATGTTAATTCTCCAGCGTTCACTGCCCTCCAGAGCTTGAAGAGCAGACATTGAATCGGTGAAGATGTCAATATTTTGGGCCTTTGAAGGATAAAGATCCATTACAGTCTTTCGGTGGTATACTGCTGTTTCCAGTGCGATTATTTCAGCTTCATAATTTGAGCAGAAATTCACCGCATACATCAAATATCTCTTCGATGGATCCATTAGTGTAACCTATGTAGATTCTGTAACCTGCTTTAATGGTGGCTTTGAATGCAGATCCATCAGTATAAAAATGTATCCATTCTTCGGGTTAAGAATCAATGGTCTTTAGTGATGAGTTCATAAGGGTGATTGTATCGGACTGTTTTGTTTCTTCGTCTACCAATTTCAACCTGACTTCTGGAGCTTTAAAGCGAGCATGTGGTGGTAAGTTTCTTGCAACATTCTGAGTGCCCTGAAGTCTTTCTGATAGGTGGTATCTGTCCTGTACCTCATGTACACAGTGTAAAACCCATTTGTGCTTTATTCTTTGTTTGTATTCCCAACTTTCTATAAGGTGTCTGTTAGGATGGTTACAATTCTTTCTAATACATCTTTCATAAATTTCTAAAGTGGCTTTTCTCTCCGCAACCCGAGGGGTTCCACATTTGTATGGATTTCACAAGCAGCAGTTGGAGTAGACCGCATAGCAGTATGGTACATCAAGGTAGCTACTTAATGTAGTTCTATTGTTGGTATCTTACCCTCTGTCCAGTGGATAGAGTTATATTGTACAATAGGGAGGTATCAAAGTTACAGCCCATGGAGATGAGTAATTAAGGCTGTGGATGAGGTTCCTTCTCCACAAAGGCTAAGCTGTATTGCAGAGACCATATGTTGCCCATGCAGCATGATCCCTCGCTATGCCTGCCTTATTTACTCCAGAGAAAAGGTAACATCAATACATTTGAACAAGGCATGTTGCAGAAGCTTCTGGATAAGAAGAGTAGTTCTCTATTCATCTGTTGCAGCCTTCCTCATAGACCAGCTGCCAGTCAAGGTTAAGACTTTAGGGCTAACTACAAGTCCTAGAGTCATCAATTAAAACCATCTTACAAGTTTCAGGGATGTCTGAAATTTGTTTCTTTTCACAAACTGTTTATTCTGGTGTCAAACCTTCAGGAAGTACCAGTGTAGTAGAGGAGAAAAACTGTCAGGTGATTACTTATGTCTTCACAGGCTGTGGACGCGGATCATTCTGGAAAAATTACGGCAAACGAGCTGCAGCAGGCTCTGTTGAATGGAAACTGGTCACCTTTTAACGCAGAGACCTGCAGGCTGATGATTGGCATGTTCGACAGAGACAGGTCAGGAGCTTTCACTTCTACTTATGGTCACATCATCTTTGATTTTTTATTTGATTTTTTAAGTTGTTTTTTCCTTCCAGGATTGCATGTAGGATTAACATCTCTTGGATGAGAATCAAACAGATACAAATCCTGGAGACCCCTTTCAGCCACGTGACACATTTATATTAGGCCACTCACAGTGATTATGAATAAACGTTCAGTTTTAGTGTGGGTGGATTGTCTGTGATATCAGTCAGGATACCGCAGTGGATTTGACCACATAATTATTACCAACTTCTTTCCCGTGTGGGTTCCGGGGCCCCATTGTGGGAAAAACAAGAATAGACCCACTGCCTCCCCAAAAGCATGTCGTAATAGTCGACTAATTGGGAGCTTCCTTTGAAGTCGGAGTGCATCTGCCTGAGAGACAAGGAACCAACAGACCAACAGTCTGCATTCAAGTGAATCAGATTGTAAAACTGATGCACATGCAACACTCAGGTTTTGGAGCAGGACTGCAGTCCAGAAGTAGACGAACAACCAGAACTTTCCACCAGAGTGTACAGCTGGTGAACGCGAAGAAGAAGAAGAAGATTACCAACTTTTCATGGAAACAGTCTGTAGGTATATCTTGGGCCTACTTCAGGATGGGTTGAACTAGGAATTCTAGTCAGTTCTTGACTTTGTGCTTGTGGTCGAGCATATGGGTTTAGTATTTAACCACTCATTGTTGTCTCTAATTGCAGTCAGATAGCACATCTTTAGAACAGATATAACAGTTTATTGACTTTTTACAGCAGTGTGACAGTTATATTACGATATCTCCACCTTGACTCTCTGCACTGTAACGGTCGCCTGCATAATGGTGAAACAGACAGACTTAACTTCTCTCTATGTCCATGTGTGTATGCATAGTGGTAGTGTGTTTTGTATCTCATATTCTTCAAGCTCACCAGCTGTAAACTCTCGCAGAAAGTTCTGATTATCCGTCCACTCCTGAACTTTGGCCTTGACCCAGAACTGGAGTTTTGCATGCACATCAGTTTTACAGATCTCGTCTATTGGTATGCAAACTGTTGGTTCCTTGCCTGTCAGGCAGATACACTCTAACTATGAAGCAGAAACTCCTAATTAGTCACCTCCTATGATATGCTTTTTTGGGGGGTGGGGGTGGATCTGTTCTTTATTCTCTAAAATGTAGCTCCAGAAACTACATGGGGGGGGGGGGGGAGTGGATCTGTTCTTTATTCTCTAAAATGTAGCTCCAGAAACTACATGGGGGGGGGGGGGGGAGTGGATCTGTTCTTTATTCTCTAAAATGTAGCTCCAGAAACTACATGGGGGGGGGGGGGGAGTGGATCTGTTCTTTATTCTCTAAAATGTAGCTCCAGAAACTACATGGGGGGGGGGGGGTGGATCTGTTCTTTATTCTCTAAAATGTAGCTCCAGAAACTACATGGGGGGGGGGGGGTGGATCTGTTCTTTATTCTCTAAAATGTAGCTCCAGAAACTACGTGGGGGGTGGGGGTGGATCTGTTTTTTATTCTCTAAAATGTAGCTCCAGAAACTACGTGGGGGGTGGGGGTGGATCTGTTCTTTATTTTCTAAAATTTAGCTCCAGAAACTACATGGGGGGGGGGGGGGGGGGGTGGGGGTGGATCTGTTCTTTATTCTCTAAAATTTAGCTCCAGAAACTACAGGGGGGGGGGGTGTATCTGTTCTTTATTCTCTAAAATGTAGCTCCAGAAACTACATGGGGGTGGGGGTGGATCTGTTCTTTATTCTCTAAAATGTAGCTCCAGAAACTACATGGGGGGTGGGGGTGGATCTGTTCTTTATTCTCTAAAATGTAGCTCCAGAAACTACGTGGGGGGTGGGGGTGGATCTGTTCTTTTTTCTCTAAAATGTAGCTCCAGAAACTACATGGGGATATTTTAAATCTGTGATCGTATATTCTGTTTTGTCTCATTTGAAGTGAAGAGTGATCTGCACTTGTTAGACAAGACTATGTGATAGTTGTTATTTAATTGTTGGGCTGTTTTCAAAAGATAGAGCATTTGTGAGTTTGCACTAAAGGCTATGATGCAGTGTCCCAAATATTGTAATATCAGTTCTTGACTTTACTCTTTCGCCCCATCAATGCTTTTAGAAATTGGCCCGAAACCCATAGGAATTTCCAGGTGGTATAGCTTGACTCATGGTGTGACCAAGTGATTTCTGTCACTAAAAATTAAAAAATTTGACATCAACTTTGCTTTAAGGTAGGTAGGTTTTTTTTTTTTTTGCTAGGGAAAAATTTAAAAATCTGTCCAACCATCATCGGGGGGGGGGGGGGGGGTGCTTTAGGTTATAATTGTGACTATGTTATGTGCACCATATAAAATGGCTTAGCATTACACGCCACCAAGAGCCATGGAAAGGTCTCCTGCAATGTTGATGCGATCCAAGGAGACAGATCCAAATACTTTCCCTACTGGTGACAGTCGTCTACTGGCGAACTAGTGGGCAACCCAGTGGCCGATGTGTGTGCGAACTTTGCTTTAAAAAAATCCATTGGGGTCATAAGGATCCTCTCTTCCCCCGACCCGCAATCCTTTTCTAGTTACTTTATTCAAACCTTTTACATATTAAACACAGTGCAGGGGCACTTAGGACCAGTGGAATTTAACTATGCTTTTCGAGAACAGGTCACTGCAGACATGGGCATATATTGACATTTACCAGACTGTCATGGTTTGTGTGGCTATGTGTGTGTGTGCACTTGTGACAACTGAGGCTAGCTGACAGATGCTAGTTGATCGGAGTTCTTTATTGGGGAACAGAAAGGCCAGACAAGTTGACTTGTCATTAGGTTTGCTTGATTTTTTATTAACTCGCTGACCGGGGTGAAGGTCAGTTGTTTGACAGCGGGATGGAATGATGGTTGTATTTGTGTTAAGAGGACCATAGTTGTGTTTTTCTACGTTTAGATGTTTAATGTTAATGATAGTAGATTCTTAGTTTGCTCTATTGTTCCTAGAATATGTTAGCAGCTTATTTGGTGGGTTAATGATCGTTTTTGTGTGTGTAAAAATCTGTCAGAGCTAGATAATTTCTTTGTCCATATCTCCACAGAAATGGTAGCATTGATATCCATGAGTTTGCTGCCTTGTGGAAATACATACAAGACTGGAAGGCATGTTTTGACAGGTGAGCACAAGTACATTTTCTTATTTGAGTTTATGTTAAAGGGGGCATTGCACTTGGGTATCTTACAGTGCTCCTATCTCTTGAAGATCATACGGCCAGGTTCTCTCTGAACTATGTAACACCAACAAGAATCCAAGTTTATGTGTAACAATCATACATGCTATAAAATAGCAGTGTTACTGGCCATAAAATAAAATTGATATACACTATAAAACAACGGTGCTGCAGGCTGTAAAATAAGTCATACAGCTGTAGAAAAGTCAGACACAGTATTTTAAAAAAAACAATGATGTGGGATATAAAATAACTGTAAAACAGGCTATAAAGTAACATTGATACAAGCTATAAATGTATTTAGTTTTTCTAATTTTGAAACTGAGCATGGGCAGAGGCCTATAAGTTAAAAAAAAAGGTAAAAGTAAAGGGCCCTTGTCACAAGAATGGCACAGTGGGCATATGATGTAGATTCATATTATCATAGATCACTCAGCAATTGATGGATGATGATGATGTGAACAACGTCACATCAACACATTTACTTCCCAAAACTTTACTGGTAATTATTTTAGGCTGAATCTACATTCTTTGGTCATGTGATGAGAAGTAGAAAACATGAGTACATCGTGCCAGTAAGAAAGTCGGAGGGAAGGAGGAGCAGAGGGAGACTGAGAGAAAAGATGCTGGACGGTTTAACATCATGACAGGGGGGATCATCTGTGTCAGAGTTGATTGACTGAACATGAGACAGAAGGTTGTGGATAGACATGACTGCCTATGCCACACGGCATAGACTTTAAGAAGAAGATTTTAGGTTGGAAGCCAAGGAGTGGTCTGTGAAGCCTGCTTTTTACAGTCGTCAACTGCTGAGAGATTTTAGCTTGCACCCTGTATATAGGACCCTGCAAGTTGTTTGCCCTAGTCTGAGAAGACGACGTCTAATCCACTATCCCATGATCAGCTAGGAGTATGCCATACTTTTCTAAATTTTGTCAAAATCTATTCCATGTGAATCATACCAGATCTACATCAGCCATAAGTGAATGTCATAACATCTAAGGCAACTGCCCTTTCTATTTTGTGTTTTGTATTCTTGGTGTTATTGTAGCCTTGCTTAAATAGTTTATAATAATGTTACATAAAACCATCTTTCAGATATGGTTGTCATAAAGTTAGCTGTAATCGGTGTAATGGGGTCAAGTCAAAACAGGTTTAGAACCCCTGCAGACTAAACAGTAGCTGCAGTTCAAAGTAGTTAGTGGGAGGTGTGGGTACGAGTTATGAGAGATGAGTCCGTTGTCAAATATAGAAAGTAGAACTTGTCATTTTTACAAAACCACAAATGCAGAAAATACTCTAGTCTTAGAGCACTTGAAAATAAAAAAATAAACTTACTTATTTCTTTTTCAGATTTGACACAGACCGCTCTGGAAATATTGATGCCAATGAACTTTCAAATGCTTTCAAAACATTTGGATACCAGTTGTGAGTGTTTATGATTTTTAAAAAAAAGATCAATATGAATATAAAGAAACTGTAAAGATGGTTCAAGTGAAGATTTGCTAGCATACTTTTTTATTTTATTTTGACAGCAGCATGAATATTGAATTAAGAATTGACACCATCGCACTCAGGACACTCCAATAAGCACTCCGTCTCCATCTTCAGAAGCAAACAAAGAGTTCCAATTACAGTGACACTAGTAAATGTCTGATTGTATACCTGTCTCGCCTTCCCCTTGAGTGTTTTTTCACCTTCATCTTCGCGTTCACTGGCTGTAAACTCCGGCAGAAAGTTTTGGTTGTTCGTCCATTTCTGGACTGCAGTCCTGTTCCAGTTCCTGAGTGTTGCATGTGCATCTGTTTGACAGATCTGTATGTAAACTGTTGGTTCCTTGTCTCTCAGGCAGATGCACTCCGACTTCAAAGGAAGCTCCCAATTAGTCGACTCTTACGACATGCTTTTGGGTAGGCAGTGGGTCTGTTCTTGTTTTTCCCATAGTAGGGCCCTGGAACCCACACGGGGGGCCTTGAGTGTTGAGCATCCGCCAGATCCCCTGGCAACTCCTCGCAGGGAAGTGAATGATACAGCGTGAGCTCCCCTCTTATTTTCTTACTGTCGCGATGTACTCCAGTTTTCTCCTTCTTATGATCAAAGAATGTAGATTGTCTCTTTCTGTTGTGGGCAATCAGTTCTGTTGGTGAGTCACTTTCTTTCAAGACAGCTTAATGCACTACTGGCAAAAAAAAAAGAGGGATTCATTGACTTGACTTATATGCTGCAGGAGCTACATAGTTTTAGCTTTGTGTGAGTCTTGATAATTGAACTGTGTCCCTGCAGAGAAACAATGAGCCAGAATGGATAGAACCCATGCAGTTAAGTCGGTCCGCTCAGCTTTATGCACCATTTTGTCCTAATTAATGCTAGTTTTTTCCTATGTGGGTTTCAGAGTCTCTTATTGGGAAAACAAGACTAGACCCACTGGCTCCCAAACAAGCATGTCTTAGAGTCGACTAATTGAGGCCTTCCTTCAGTGCATCTGCCTGAGAGACAAAGTACCAACAGTCTGCATACAAATAAGTCAGATTGATGAACCAGAACTTTCCACTATAGTTTACAACTGGTGAACACAAAGAAAAAGAATGCTGGTGTTTATCCTCTGCTCTTTGAATGCATTATGAATCAGGGCTTCCAGTGTTATTTCTGTGGCCCATTTGGGTGGGGGAAAACTAAATGAACACACTGCCCTACAACAAACATGCATCACAGTCAACTAATTACGGTTTGCTGAAATAGTTAGTCTTGGGCTGAAAGATGCATATTTCGCAACCTAGCTGTAAACCACATCATAACTAAACCAAGGCCTTCATGTGAAATGTTTCTTGTTATTACCTTTAATGATAACTCAGTACTGAATATACTTCTTGTTATCACTCAAGGTCACCACAGTTTAGTCAACTTGTTGTCCGGGTTTTTGACCGCAACAGAGGCGGCTACAGCATCAACTTTGATGACTTCATTCAAGCCTGTGTGATGCTGAAAACTCTCACTGACAAATTTCGGGTCAAAGATGTCAGTCAGAATGGCCAGATCAGAATAAGTTACGAAGAGGTGAGACAGTAAAAACAGTGTTATATTCTTGGAAAATAACAGTAGCAAAGCAGTGTGCCTTGGGCAGGAATGTATGTGAAGTGAGAAAACTGTTGCACTTATATCTTTCCGTCCTCTCTACAGCAGTGTGTAAGTTATTGCGCTTGTGTCTCTCCGTCCTCTCTACAACAGTGTGACAGTTATTTTACTTATACCTGTCCATCCTCTCTACAACAGTGTGACAGTTATTGTACTTATACCTGTCCATCCTCTATACAGCAGTGTGACAGTTATTGTACTTATACCTGTCCATCCTCTATACAGCAGTGTGACAATTATTGTACTTATATCTCTGTTTCCTCTCTACAAAAGTGTAACAGTTATTGTATTTATATCTCTCTGTCCTCTACAGCAGTATGACAGTTATTGTACTTGTAGAAGTTTTATCGGTTAACACAAATTTCTGTTGCCATGAATTATGAACTGTTTTTCAGTCTGTGGCCTCACCAGGTCTTATTTAACTCGAACCTCTAAAGCTTTTCATTTGTTTCTGCTGTTCCTCTGCTACAGTGGTTCTCAACCTTTGGAGGTTGAATTACCTTTTTACAGGGTCACCTAGGACCATCAGAGAACACATATTCACTGAACTTATGATGTAGCAATGAAAATAATGTTATGGTTGGGAGTCACCACAACATGAGGAACCGTATTGAAGGGTTGGAGCATTAGGAAGATTCAGAACCACTGCTGTACTAGAAATGTGAGAAATGAAGTTAAAAGTTAACCATTGTGAATTCACATTATTTGTGTGCTTGAACTAGAAGTTATTGTCCTTAACATTGACGGTGAATATGCACACCTGTACATATCCATATGCACACATATATACATGCTTACCAAGATGCGTAAGTCTTACCTCATACAGAATTAACATTAATGGGGTCATACATAATTATTATTAACTCTTTGAGTCCCATGAAACACATCATACGTTCATAGGTTCCTACCTAGAAGCCAATTAACGCATGATGCACCAGTTTTATGTCTCTCTTTTTACTACCCCTCGGCCCTGTGATGCTAAACCCACTGGGAGAGTTAATGACCTCATACATAATTATCATTAATGGTCTCATACAGAATTATCATTAATGCCCTCATTCAGAATTATCATTAATGGCCTCATACAGAATTATCATTAATGACCTCATACATAATTATCATTAATGACCTCATACATAATTATCATTAATGGTCTCCTCCAGAATTATAATTAATGGCTTCATACAGAATTATCATTAATGACCTCATACATAATTATCATTAATGGCCTCCTCCAGAATTATCATTAACGGCCTCATTTAGAATTATCCTTAATGGCCTCATACAGAATTATCATTAATGGCCTCTTACAGAGTTATCTTTCATGGCCTCATACAGAATTATCATTAATGGCCTCATACAGAATTATCATTAATGGCCTCATACATAATTATCATTAATTGTCTCCTCCAGAATTATCATTAACGGCCTCATACAGAATTATCATTAATGACCTCATACATAATTGTCATTAATGGTCTCATACAGAATTATCATTAATGGTCTCATACAGAATTATCTTTAATGGCCTCATATAGTATTGTCATTAATTGCCTCATACAGAATTATCATTAATGGACTCATATAGAATTATCATTAATGGCATCATACAGAATTATTATTAATGACCTCATACAGAATTGTTATTAATGTCTACAGTTTCTGGAGATGGCCCTAGACACTACCATCATCAAGTAGCAGAGGAGTACAGATCTATTAATACAGTCAGACAACCCAAACCTGGTTGGTTAACAGAGGTGTAAGATAACAAGGCAATTGACCCGGCCGTGTGAAACTTTTACGGCAGAAAATTTACATTGATTTTCCTCATATCAGTGTAATAATTTGTATACAATATATTTTTTTTTTTAATGTTAAAGTATCTGTTTAATTACCAGAAAGGTGGGAATTTGTGTACAATTTCTTGAAGTGTTGATGTATACTGTCTGGAGAATGTTGTGTTAATGCAATTATATTATTACTGTAGTAATTTTAATTATTATATTTAAATATTTACTGGAAACAAGAGCAGCTGGCCGATTGATTAAGCATGCTGGATTCTCGTGCTGGAGAATCCTCGTTAAGTTTGTGGGTTTTTGTGTGAGTGACAAAAGTAACACCCTAACCTGCAGTCTTCTGTGATGTGTGTACTAGCCATGCAGCCGTAAATTCTCAGGTTCAGAAACACTGTCCCCTCCAACTATAGTGATAAACACAGGCAGTAATGACAGTTTTATGGCTGGACACAAGTAGCAGCAACATGTCTGAGATAGAAACAACAATAGTGAAACTAAACCTCACAGACATTTACAACACATCAAGATAAAATGGCTGGTAAATGAAACCAATATCATGTTGGTAAAATAGGTTCCAGGAAATGACCTAGAAAAAGAATATTATCTTTTATTCCTCCTCTAGTTACTTCATCAGAATTTTTAGAGGGGGGAGGGGGGCTTGTAAGGTTCTTCTGTGTGCTCTTATTAATGCATTGCATATGTCGATCTTCATTTCTGTCTAACTTCATGAATTACAAACAGGACTGAAGTTTTCATGCTAGAAATAACATTGCAAATATAGATAGTCTGTTTCAAGTGAATGAAAGAGAAAGAAAAAGATTTATGTACAGCTGTAGTTATCCAATCATTCCATGTTTTGCATGGTCTTCCACTTGCTCTGTGTTGATTAAGTTTCTTCAACGAGGCTCTCTGTGGCAGTTGGTACCAGGGTATCATCAGATGGCTACCCTGTCTCTCTTCTTTTGCTCTTTAATGTGAAAATAAATGTGGCCAGTATAATGTTGATCATACTTCCTCCCAAGTGCCAATTATTCTATTAATTTCTTTACATCTGTCCATAAGCACAGTATTAGTAATTCTGTTTAATTATTTCTATACAGTGCTGGCACCAGTTAATAATGTTTATAGTTTATTAGCAATTGTTTTAGTCATTCTTGATGTTTAATTTCCAGTTAGAATATAAAAAATGTCAGCTGTGTGTATGGTCCACATTGTCAAAGTATTATATTGCTCTAATGAGGAGCGACCAGCTGGCCAAAGAGTTAAAAATGCTGAAATCGTGTTTGCAAGGCTCTGGTTTGAATCATCAGTAATATTTTGGATTTTTTCCTGTCAGGGGCATAAATGGGAAAATTGATAAACATGGAATAGTTTGAATTCATGAAAGTTTAAGCAGTAATAGAAGTTTCTGGACAGACACAGGATCATTGTAAGACATAGAAGATATCTGTTTATTGGACATGAGGAGAAGTAGCCAGAGAATCATCAAACAGGCACTGGAATGAAAAACAAATGAACTGAGGAAAACCAAACAGAAACCATTTAACAATAAACAAGAGAGGCCAAAGTTTTCATACTGCACAATAATTAAAAAAAATAAATAAAAAAAGGATTGCACAGGCTAGCGGAACAGACAGCCCTGTGTAGCATGTAAACGTCATGTGGGATGATGTTGATCATGGTCGTAAAAATGGAAAATGATGTTGATGTTCTGTATACAATTTGCTTACATAAACTCATGACCAGTCTTTTATATTCTAAATAATTGATATTTTTTCTTCTGGTTACAGATGTTTTGTGTTATGCTTCTATAATCATTATACCAAACCTGGTTAACCACGTTTTTAACATAAAATAAAAAGATGTTTCCGCTTGAAATGTTGGGTTTCTTTGTCTGACCGCTGTTGTATTCTAGCATATATTGAAATGAGGTAACTGCAGTAAAGCTATGAATAAATATAAGAAAGATTTTTTATTTTTTTACTATCTCCTGTCTGATGCTGTCTAAAAAGTAGCAGATGCAGGCAATAAAAATAATTAATTCTTCCAATTAGCCTAAAGGTTGATAATTTGCACAAGTAAAAGGGACAACTACTTATTTAAAAATTGTTTTCAACAGTCCTATGATGAATCTTTGGACCCATCAAACATGCAAACAACAGAAAATGGAGATTGAGAAAAAAAGTACAGTTCATAGTCCCCATAAATGACCACTGATTACTGGCATCATGAGGGCTAATAGACTGCAGTGGTTGGGGCATATAGGATGATTGGCAGATAATAGAGAGAGAAATTATATACAGGAAAGAGTTGCTTAGGAGTAGACCACAAGGCAGACCAAGAAGACAGTGGAGAGATAATATACTGGCAAATGTCAGTCAACCTTTTAGTCTCAAATGTATGTCAGTCATGTTTCCTACAGCATGACAGCAAAGTCTTAAATGTCCAACCGTCATAAGTCCTACAGATAGGCTTGGATGTCTGTTACCGTAGGCCCCATTCTTCACAGTGTCGGGACCAAATAGAAGGTATGCCGGAAGCAATCTTTTTTGCATATTGTTGTGTGAAGTTTCCAGATAAAACAACATCAAAGGTGTCTAATATGCGGAAGAAGAAAGTGCCCATTTGTGTGTTGGTTAACGTTCTGGACCTGCAGGCTTCTCCTTGATGGTCTCCATCAGTCACAGCCCGTGGCGAGTGAGAAGCTCAACATACAGATGTGAGGTTAAGCAGACGTGGGCAGGACCTGACAATTCCTTGGGTGAGCAGGAGTCAAGAGCATAATGTGTTGGCTGTCCATTTATGGAACCTCCTTAGGTTGTGAGGAATGCCCATGATCTGCCTTTCCTTGAGTGCCAACCAGTCTACATGAGGTTGCTCCAGGGGCAACACCTGTTGAACACAGGACTAAGAGGACACCACACAAATAAGGCCACATCAGCTCCCACAAAACGGGAAGGCTAATGCAGTGAACTAATGCTCAATGAAATCAGATGTATCGACCAAAAAAGTGCAAATGATGCTGATTGGCTGTAAACAGTCATAAGCAGTTACAACACTCAGAAAAATGAAAAGAAGAAGAAAAAGATATAGTGGCAGATGCACAAACATTTGGAGTCACCAAATGGAAAGAGAAAGCCAGTCACACAGATGACGGAGGCTGGTGATATGCACCTCAAAGGCTTGGAATCTTGAAGAAGAAGACAAACTACATCTGATGCTGACTGAGAGTGAAGAGCCCTGACATGTACCAGGTTATGACCTTATGTTCCAGGCAAGCATCAAGTAGAGTAACCAGGTCCCTTTCTTGCCATTTTGCCTTCCTAGATAATTCTTCTCTGGTTTCTATTTTATGAGACTGGATAAAACCCAGGCTGCACTGGCGGGGAAGAAATCCAGACTTGGTAATAATGGAGACCAGACCCCTAAGTTGGCAGGCCAGGGCACTAGTGATTTCTTAGGGTAGAAAGATTCTCCCAGTAAGGGAATCAGATATTTAAAAAAAAGCGTGCAAGTGCATAAATACCAAGTCATCATTTGCTGGACTCAAATGTTGAATTAAGAATCAACATCACAGCACTCGGGACACTCCCATAAGTGCTCAGTCCCTATCTTCAGCAGCAAGCAATGAGTTCCAATTCCAGTGATACTACCAGTAACTGTCTGATTGTATATCCGTCTCATCCTTCCCCTGAGTGTTGAGCGTCGGCCAGATTCCCTGGTAACTCCTCGCAGCGTCATTTTCCTCAGACTGTAATGATCTATCTGCGTCTCCGCATTGGACTTGAACTGGCATGTTGATCATTAAAGATGTTAAGAGTCAGCACAGTTTATCTACAGTCAGCAGGGGCATTAGAAGTACTCTCTGAGGTGAAGTGGTTGAGCCATTTCCTTTGTGCTCTGAAGATTGTGGGTTAATTTGATGGACATGTCATTCAGTTTACAGGTACAGTTTTGTGAAGATAACTGGGCGATAATCTTGAAGCTATGGGGTTCATGCTCTGTACCGTGCTCTCGGCAGGCAAGTAGTTATTCTGTGGAGAATAACAGCTATATGGTGAAATGAAGTCAGTCATCTTGACTTACTTTTTAACAAATGTTTGAGTCAGCATTGATGTAAGAGTATGCATTCTAATTGTTTCTGCAGTTAGCATGAACTGTCCTTTTCCACAGATTCAGATGTATTGGGCAAATAGTACTAGACTTATATTTTATAGGCCAATCAGCACTCGGTGGGTGATTATGGTCAACATCCCACCAGCCGACTTACTTCCTATAAGACTTTACCTGGTACTTATATTAAGACTGGGTCGACCTGGGAGCCAAAATCTTTTTTTTGTTAAAATTCAGGCACCGTTCGGATTTGAACCCACATCAGTGGGTACACAGATGAGCATCTAGCCGCTATGCAACGGCAGCGCCCTGTTTCTGCAGTACATAGATTATATAAGCACTGACACAAATTAACCTACAGAATCAAAGAAATGAAGGCAGATCGGGAAAAAACCACACATACGCGTGTGCGCAAGCACGCACCCACAGAGAGAGAGAGAGACAGAGAGAAGGGAATTAGAGAGTGAAGTTAAAAATATGGGGTGAACTGAATGTGATAGTTGAAGGCTTATGCTCCATTTGGGGATAAATAGCAAACCAACAAGACACATGTTTATCTTGTGGATAACCTCTCACAGAAGGTCAAAGCACATTATACATTTATAGAAACAAAAACTTTAGAAGTTTTCTCAATTATTTAATACAATAAAACTTGTAAAGATTTACAGCAAACATTTTCACAATAAATACAAAGTTGCCTAAACTAATTAAAAAAAACGAATCAACAAAATAAAAAGTGTACAAAAACCTTCACTATCAAGACCCACTATACAAAACCAGTACAAGACA